GCAACAATCAAAATCTCCACTGCATCTGCAAAGAATAATGAGGATTAGAGTCTTGTCCAGTGGTCTGGAAGGCTCATTTGCATTCCCTGGTCTGGTGATTCCCCTTTTTTCCATGTTGTGAAAAGACCGTCTCCCCAGTGTTTTTCTGTCCCTAAGACAAGAGAGCTAAAAAGCTTTCGTTGATGGGGGAAAGTGGAAGATCATGTTCGTGACACCTGCTTTGTACGTAATTCCTACACATCATACACTTCTGCCACAATTATTACTTAATTCATTCCTCTCCAGAAAAGTACACCAGTCATTTCATGGTCGCCCTGTTTATCATCTCCAGCTGTGGGAGCCGGTACCGGCCAGGTGCAAGGACAATAGCTGGCTATTCATTTCTCTGAAATGAACCAGCTGTTCCCCTCAGCATGCCCCAAGTCTGGGTCCTGCTGGTGACAACCCTGTTATGGCTGCTGCTGCAACTTTAATTTTATTTTAAGAGCTAATCCAGACTGATTGTTCTGAGAACATGCCTAAGTATAGCGAGGGGTAAGTACATTTTACAGAAAGACATATTCCAGGCTTTAAATCTGTTGTAGAATAGCTTATAGGTCTGTGTGAGCTTTTAGATTTTTCCCCCAGATTCATGGGAGATGTTGATTGGTACAGTTAGATAATGTCAGGTAGGGAATTGCTCACCTGCTATTGATGTCCACTGAACTCTGTGTTCCAGCATATGGGTCAAATCGTGACCTAAGTCACAAGTCCAGTGCCTGACAAAAAACATGTGTGGATGACAAAGAAGAGCCTGAAGTATATTTCAGCCCCATGAAGATCCCAGAGCCAGCAGAGAGTCCATTCCCTTGGGTCTGCTTGTGACCAAAGGACTTGGTCTGCATTATGCAGCTTAGAGGTCTTAGGACAACGCTACTTCTGTCTTTTTACTACATGGACTCCCAAATGTAAGGAAAGGGGAGGGAAGGGGATGCTGCTGACAAAGAGTTCATAATGAACTGATGGCAGAGGAAAGAAGAGAAAAGTTGCCTGTTAAATGTCACAAGGCCTCAGGAGTCTGGCCTGAGGATCCGGGTCCCAGTCATTTGCTCTCAGAAGCATGAAATCCATCGTTTCCCATTTAAAAAGCAAATAAGACTATCTGGGTTTTCAGGGAAATTCTGGATCTGGTTTCAAGTTTGATTGTTCACCAAAACATTAATTGTGAGGTTTTTAAAAATTGCTTTGAACAAGACATGTTGTAAGAAAGGAAGAGATGTAATTTGCAGCTGTATGAAAACAATGCAAAAAAAAGACAAACTCAGAAAATATTTTCTTAGCCTCGATGATGTCATTCACAGATCTATTTCAACTAATTGTTTTTAAATTAATAATTTTCTACTAATTGTTTTACTTTCAATACTTTTTCATTATTAAGAAATGGAGACAAAACCTACTCATAGCTATGGCTGTTACATTTAACTTAAATCAATGGGATTTTCCTCCCTCTCTTTCTCAGCTCATTTATATTATCCATCAAAATTCCCCATTGAAGAATGTACTTTCTGCCTCTGAGATTTCTGCTCACTTCCCCCCAGCTGAGAGAAGGAATTTGCCAGTACTTTGACCTTTCACACTGTACTAATCCAACTTGAGTCAGTAGATGCCAAAGGGAGCTTAGTTTTTTCATATTTTCCCAGTTTTATCTGCCAATAGTGTATCATTCTTTGCACAGACTCAGGTCTGCAGAATAGTCCATTTTTTTCTACAGGCCAACAAAACAAGACAAATGGGATGCTGTAAAGGCAGTACTAAACCCCATGAATAAATGAAACTGCAAGCTTTGAGAGAGGTCACTCAGAAATAGCTTCAATTCCAATAGACTCTGTATTAGTGACTCAAAATTGTGTACATAGCCAATGAAACCTTCAGTTCATGCTGAGATACAGGGATAGGGACTGCTGCCTAATTTTTGTGAATATTGACTTTTCTTCCAGGAGATCTACCTTCTCTTCCTAGCAATTCCACACACTTATGGTATGATATTGAGCAAATCATTCTCTCTAGTTTAAAATCTCATGTTCATTAGAATGATGGGATCATGATATGGCTGTCCCTTGTAAAATGCCTTGAAATCCATGGATAAAAGCAAACCTTACACTGAAAAATTATTGGCATTATGCATTTACAAAGCAACTTCTAAGAACCTCATAGTGCTATCCTGAAATGATACAAAAATGCATACAGTTTTTCAGGAGTGTTTTAGTTAGATGAAGCTGTCTGAAAAGGCCATAATCCCAGCTCAAGGACAATATCTTTGTTTTCTATTTTCATTTTCAGCTTTGGCCCATATCATGTCAAACTCAGAAATCATTAATATTTCCCGCAAATGACAAGTTCCCAGGGGAAAAAAAATAATCAGAAATACCAAGGATCACTTCCAAGACAAAGTACATTCCCAAGTGAATCCTGCATTATAGACAATGTGGTGCCTCAGGCAGGGGGTAAGGAGGAATAGAAAATTAATCTTGCAGGATGCCTGAAGAGAACCAGGCATACTTTGTGTATTTTAGCATTTCTCTTCTTTTTGTGTTTTAACCTTAATGCTTAGCCAAAATTCAAGGTTCTGTAGTAATTTTCTGTTAGGAAGAGTAATGATAAGAGAGGTGGGTGTCTTTGACACAGCTCCAGTTGTTTACAATGTACAAGACTTTGCTTCCTTGAACAAGGCAGAAACCAGCAAGCTGGAGACAGCTGCTCAGAAGGGGGTCTGGCATGGCCAACTGCCAGCGCTCCAAACAGCAAGATCCCAGGAGATATTCCCAGCACCATCTTCCCTGTGCTTATTCACACCCTAACCTATGCTTGGCTTTACCTACTCCCTCTTGGGTCCTCCTGGGCTGCTTGTATGGAGACACAATCCAGGCAGTGGGTATTGCAACCTGAGGTCTCTCAAAGTCCCCACTGCTGGCTACAGCATCAAATTAACAGGGGCCTCAGATAATTTCAATGAAAAGTTGAAAAAAAGCTTTCAGGGCAATCTGAAAACTCAGAAAGGAAAAGATAAGAGAACATCCAATGTACTTGCTTCACCACAGAAAAATACCCTTAATGTGAGGGCACTTGTTACTCTGGGTCTGGCTGCTGCTATGAACATCTGAGATCTGTGATTTTCAGGAGCAGACTCCATTAGGTAACAACTCAATACACTTCTGCCACAAGTAATAGTTGGGATGATGTGGGCAGAATGGGAATGGGTAAAGGTGATAAAGTACACAAAGGTGGTACAGAAATGCCAACAGCATCTCTACTTGGCACAGCCTTTGCTGCCAGACTTAACCTCAGTGCCATTCCTGTCACAGATTGAAAGGTCTCTTCTTGCTGTAAGAAGTCTTTTTCAACTCTCAAAATAAAAGTGGGTTGAGTATCACAGAGCTTCACACCAGGAAAAATGCATGAACTCAGTGTAAATTATAATAATGAAATTGTAGTATATATGTAATTTCTAGCAGAAAAAAATCTTCTATGAGCCAGGAAGAAGAAAAAAATTGAGGTTTTTTTCATTATCTAATTTACCATCATTCCTTGATATCTCCAAGTAGGACTGGGGGCTCTGGGGTAGATCATTAGAGCTCTTTCCCTCTTTTCTGTACTATAGACCTCTGCATTACAGGAAAGAGAAGCTGGCATTGGAACCTGTAGCAATGCCACAAGCTCTAGCAATGCTAGTGAATCCATAGAGAATTTATGGAGTATAGCCCTAGGCACATGATGAAAAGGGCAGAGAGAGTGAAGGTGATATTCAGTCTTTGGAAACACTGAGAAGAGATGAAGTTTCTTGGAAGAGATGACCTTTTTTTTTTCTCTAATCAGAAAGAGTAGGCTGTCAGTTATTGAGTTTAAATTTAGATTGCAGTGTTGTTCACTTCTCTGTTACAAAACTCAGATAGATTTAATATCCAGACCTGCAAATCCTTTACAGTGAAACAGGAAAAAAATGAAGTCACAGAATTAAGACCAGTTAATGGAAGCGTATGCGTGAATGGCCTGTGGGGTGTTCCCATTAACTGCTGTGCTGATTTATATTGTTGTCATCACAATCTTTTTGCATTATGTCTCATTATACTCAAAGAATATTGGTACAATTAGATTGAAATTTGTCTTCATGGGAGGCATTGTCCTGACTGAAGGATAAGGGTGATATTTCTGGGCAATCTATAGTGCAATTGGCCACCTATGACTGCCAGCTCACATAGACTGGATCTTCATCCCCACACACGGGGCCAGCCCAGAAGCTGGGGAATGGTTAACGCCCACACCTGCACTAAACCTTCAGGTGAAAGACAAACAATCAGCTTCGTGTGGGACTGAGGAAGGGAAAATCCAGGCACCTCCCTCCCTGGTTCAGGAGGAGTTGAAAGCAGCTGCTCCTGCTGGCGTTCATGCTGGTGCTGGCCAGAACAGCCTGAAGGTGGCCTGCCCGGGGGATGATGTGTGCACACATTGCAACTAATTGCACTCTGTACATCAGACTGCAAAAACCAAGACAAATTAATCATCATTTCACCTTGCCAAGTAAGTAAATACTGAAACTCTCACCTTACATACAGGAAAAACAAGTCACAGAAAGAGCTGGGGCCAGTGCCAGGACTGGGAAACAGCTATCCAAACTTTCTAGTATGCTAGCTTTCATCCTGCACCCCTCAGGCAACAGAACTGCTCTCTTTCAGAGTCAGACTCAAGTTAGCTCCTCTGAAACAGAGGAAGGTGGCAGTCAACCTGTCATGGTATCCAGTGTGCTCCCTCTTTATGAGGAGCACATTGGACTTCTTAACTTTTGGCTTCTTGTAACTTGTTCTTTCTTTGTTGAGATGAATTGAGGTCTCAAGGAGCCCTATACAGTATTTCTAGAGGATTCTGGTTGCTGCTATAGTAGCAAAATAGCAGGCACAACAAATAACAGTGACAAGCTTTGAAGAACAGCTAATGTTTTATTTTCATTTAATTTTCAACATTTCTTATGTGTGCATACAAATACAGAAAGATTCTCCCTAAAAAATAAAACCAACAGCCTGGACTTTCCTTAAACTCAGAGGCATAACAGTAAGTGCTTCACAGGTCCCATAGCTGACTGTTCCTTTAGAAGGCAAACCAATACAAATTTCTTGCTCCTGTAGTTATGGCTCAGTTCACCTTACAGACTCTCTGCTTGTAGGACCATGAGATTGATATAAGCATGCAGGTATGGTTCAGTTTGCAGACCTTTCCTCTCACTACAGGACAAAGAAAGAAAATGTAATAAATAAGTAAATAAATTTTAAAAACACAACATCAAACTTAGCAGAGAAAATAAGATGCCTGGCCAAATCTGGTGCTCTGGGAGAGCTGACATCTGATTTATCCTACTAACACATCAGTAATTCTCTGTGCTATAAAAGAACTATGTGATTCAGCTTGTTTGCTCTCAGGGTTTTTGCTGAAATCCCCTAGTCACATACTCAGGAAGGAATCCTTTTATCAAAGAACCTTTGCACCTTGCACCACAAGTATTGTCCATGGCTGCTATTGCCCTTCATTATAGCCTTGAAGGGGACTGACTGAGTGATGTGGCAGCAATGTGCTGACACCAGAATTTGGTTCCAGTTTGATGAGATAAGGCAAACACATAGATTTTGGCACTTACATTCAGGAGGGCTAATAACAAAGGTTAGGTCTCTGTGGACATTACCAGGTCAGTGACAAAATTCTAGTTATCCAAAATACCAGCAGGGACTCCAGCTGTATGGGGAAACAAAAGTGCAGAGCAAAAGGAACATGAAGAAGAGAAAAGAATTTGAACCAGCTGAAGCAGTTCATCTCCAGACAAAACCAGCATGAGTGAAGGTAGTATTTATGTGCATAAGGGTAGAGGGGACAGATTTTGTGCTTGCAACTTGTTAGGGAAGGCAGTAAGCCCTGGCCTTTTCTTTCCAGAAAGTAGAAGGATAGACTGTTCTGCATTAAAAAACAAAAACAAACAAACAAAAACAAACAAACAAACAAAAAAACCCCACAAAACAAAACAGGAGAATTCCCACACTGGACTGTTCTTACTCCACCTGTGCAAATACTTTTGTATCCACTGGCAACTAATCTGGAAGGCCCATCTGCTTCCAACCAACACATAAGCACCCACTGATCCCACCTCATATGCTGTTACTCTAAGTCCCCTCATTTTACCAGATCATAGAAAGGGAAGAGGAGGAAGAAATCCAACAGATTTACTCTAATCCTTGAATGCAGCTTTGGATCTTCTTTGTATGGTCTCAGAGCCACCCTATTGTCTATATAAACAATGCCCCATGCTGAACAGGAGGTTCTGTATAGTCTATGGAGAAGACAAAGGACAGAAGAAACAGTAGTGAGAAACAGTATGTAGTTTAGGAAAGCATAATATAAGTTTGTATTTTATGCCAAAAAAATCCCACCAGTTTTCTTGGCTTGTTTTACGAGAACTTGCTGAAGTTTAAGAGGCAGAGAGTAATTTTACAGACTCTGACACGTTTAGCTGACTAACAGAGCAAAAAAACTTGGGAAATACCTTTCACGTTCAAAGGTACAAAATAATACATCTTGTGGTTTGAATCAGCCTGGTTTTCTACATGCCTTGGATTTAAATACAAATCTCTGCCAAACACAGGGAGTTTTTAAGGGTGTTAAATTGCCTAGCTCTTTTTACAGTGTGCAAAGTGATTTGAAATCATTGGGGAACACTAATATTTTGTGGAGAGAGTTCCAGGTTGGAAGACTGCAGTTTGCAGCACTAAGACTTATAAATCACTTCAGCTGTGGTGGAATGTGATGATTTGAAGCCATTGGGTTTGGAAATGGAAAAAAGACATGATCTTGAAAGATTCAAACTGCTTTGAATATGTTAAGCCCAATCTTACAGCTCTGATTGAAACATATTCAACAAACATCAAAGTACAAGCTGTATGATCAAATACTTTCTGCTGGAAAACTTTCAATATAACTTACCCTTTGTAGCTCTGCATATATTTAGAAACACTGGGCCTAATCATACAGCAGTTTACACTTGATGTAATCACCTGCTGTTGTGCAAACTGAGCACAAACACCTTTTCTAATCTAGTAATAATTGTACGTCATTTTGCCATCATTGTGAAAAGGCACAATGAACAAGTGCTCTCTTCTGCAAGGAGAAAGAAGCTGGAGATAAAATTTTCTTGCTTCCATGAGATTGCCTTGCTATAATAAGCAGAAAAAAGATAAAAAGATGAAGGACATGCACAAAATTGTGGAAGTTACATAAAATGAAAGTGAAAAAAGACTGGAAGAACACCAGCTTCATTCCTACGGGCAACATCAGCTGGAGAGTAGGAAAATACTATCATCCTCTAACCTTGCTCATAGGCATTCTTGAGGACCAAAGGGAAAACACAGCTTTCATTCAGTTTCTATATTATTTATGCAAGACTTCCACTGTCCGAGACCTAGTACTGTGCTAATAGAAAATGTTAAGAAAGGAAATCTCTAAAAAAAGGATTTAGGAACAAACAGCTGTCAATTGGTGATGCTCGGTAAGATGTAATTAGTGACATGGGATCAAATGGCATGTGTTTAAACATTACACTTGCTTCTAAAAGCCATTGTGTATCCACAAAAAAAGAATTAAACACATTTCTAAGTTTACCAAATTTCTAAGCATGCCAAAATCATTCTTCTGAAAAAGTTTCCCTGCCTTTTGCCATGACTTAGATCAGCAGTAAGAATGATATGAGAGAGCAAACTGAACTTCTATGTGCAGGTTGTGAGGAGTTACATATTTAGCTTGATTAGTCTTTGCTATTGCAAAAGATATCTGACCTTTTCTGGAGGAGCTCAGTGCTACCTCTGCCTCATAGCAAGCCCTTGCAAGTCTGGAGGGGAGAGTGGTGACAAGTTTGCTGCCTGCCTTCCATGGAGTTCCATTCAAGCTTGGATGACAAACAGCATTTTTCAGGTTGCTGCAGTCCTTCTGCCATCTGCATTTGCCCCACCAATATCCTGCCAGAATAACAGAGCCCTTTGTGAAGAGGGAGGATAGAGTATGCTACCAAGAACAACTCCTACAGGGATCCAGAGTGAGACCCTGCTTATCCATCTTCCTCATGGAAGACTCGTATGTAAAAGTGCTTATCAACATGGAGATAATGCTTATCAATAAGTATATATGTTCATCATACAGCATTTATATAATATGTTCTAGACTGAGTTTAAACATTCTAGAATTATAAATGATACCTTCCATGACACCTTAATTTGGATCCTAGTGTATGTACAATGAAAGATAACCTTTAATTAAATGTTATTCCTTTTATTTTCTCACAGGGATCTTGTCATATAGTGAGAACAGCAATAAGAAAAAGAAGCAAGACTGGGAATTAATGAGGCTCCTTGCTTCATCTGCTCCACTATGTAGGAAATGAAACTTCTGCAAAAAGGAAAGGCAAGAGACTACAGGAGAGAGCATGTCTTTTGGAATAAAGCAAGTGAACATTACAAAACGAAATTCAGTCATGTCTCTGCCACTTCCTCCCTGATTGTAACCACAGCTCCCACAGTCTGCTCCCTGGACAGTGAATCAGCAGTTCAGACACAACAGGGCAGAAAAGAAAATGTGTGGGTCAGTATAACATGGGCCAACATTAGAGTGTCTGGCAGCTCTGGAAATCAGAAAAGACCAACACTTTGTAAGAAGGGAAAGGCACAGAAACAGAACATGACACCCAGTAGGATTAAGTACCTGTTAATATCCTATGTGATACAATACAGTTCTTACTTAATAGAAAATGTGTATTTGGCAAAATTCCCCTTGGGACAGTTTTTAAGGTAAAGTCCACTCCAATACATGACATACCCAAGTTCCCACAAAGACAAGTTACTCTATTTGAAAACAACAGAAAGTACTTCCCCGATTTTTCTTCCCATTTTCTCTGGTACATTAAATGACTTCATTTCAGAAGTGAGCCAAGGAGTAGCGTTAAGGAATCAACTAAAGTTCACATGTGTTGTGACTGCTGTGCATCAAGGAATCAGTCATCCACTCCACAGCTAACCTGAGCAGTCTTGGGCCTGTGCTGTGCCATGCTGCGCATCCAGCATGGCCTTCAGCCTGTGCTGTGCCCCACACATAACTGCACAAATTCAAAGTACAATACTTACACTGGAGAGTTTCCACCAAAAAGCCCTGGTGCTACCTGGAAAGCCACAGGGATGGGTTCTGTGATCAGATGCCTTTATGAGAGATTTTTCTGGGATTTATGGGCTAAGAATTCAAAAGGCTATTTTGTCTGCCCATTATGCAAAGATGGAGATGTTTTGCAGTATAACAAGTAGGGTTATGCTGCTTGGGCATACCCTAGAGCCACAAAGTAAAACAAAAATATAGATACCTGTAAAATAGACTGCTGGTGTTACAGAGACACAAACTCACACTTTACCTTCTCCAACAAGCTCAGAGATATCACTCTGTTGGATCATCACCCCAAAAGGCACATCTCAGAGGCAGAAGGTGGAGGCCTCATGCCCACCCCTCACCCTATGGGCCTCTAAGTGAGGAGGAGCTACATGGCTGTACCCACAGTAGAGACAACAGTGTCCCCAGAGCAGAGCCCCTTCTCACAATCATGGGCAGGACTGGGCTGAGCACCCAGTGGAACCTCAGGTTTACTCAGGAGTTTTATTCTGGGCTAGTCCCCCAGGATTGCTGCCTTCCAGCAACCAGGAGACCAGGTCACTCAGCAGCCTTCACATCTCTACCACCCCAGTGAACCTTTAAACCTGAAACACATTTCATGCCATATTCTTTCAAACCATAATGCTAATGGGTGAAGACAGTAATATAAACCTCTCTCATGAGACAAATGTGTCTAGAGTATGATTGTATGTCCAAGCTGTGGCCTTGGTATCGTCTAGTTAATGGTATGGTATCCCTAACTACTGTAGTTATGAAGCCACAGGATCATGATGTTATGCCTGAATGGCCTGATGTGTACTACCTGTGCTGAGGATGGAAACATATATAAGTACTGAACACAGTGATAAGACTCATGATTTTCATGACTGTCCTCTTGCTTCTATAGCCACAGCCTAATACATGGCTTGATCTCATGTGAACCATCCCATTGATTTATAGATGTTTGCAAAAATAAAGATTCTACGAAATACAAAAGCATTCTTAGAAATCTGGTGTAAAAATATTTGTTTCTTTCATGGCCTCGCCTTAACCATACAATACTCTCAGATTTTAGATTTAATGAAAACATTGTCCTTGTACTGCAGACAGTACAGGCTTGGAAATATGACCCATTCACAGCCAGACAATAAGGAAAGCAAAGAAAAAGCACCTCAAGCCTTCTTTAAAAAAGAACTTTCCAAAATCTAATTTTTGCATCAGCCTCTTGATATTTTTGCAGCCTGACTCATAAAATGCTGAGTGTATGTGGGAGAAGTGGAGTGGGAGTGAAGGGATGGCACTGCCATTTTAAAAATTATAAATAGATAAAGTGCCAACTGTCTGCATACTCTCAAGACATCACTAGCTGGCCAAGATCATTGCCATCATCTGTAACTAATAATGTAAAGATTATTAGTTTTGTTTCTTACATTTACAGGAGAGTAAATGAGATTTACATGAGACTTGACAGTAACGCAGCTTGCAAGGTATGGCTCAAGTTAGGAGTTTTCTAGACAGTTTCAGTGATGTTTCTTTTTTTGTTTAAAATAGAGATTATCAACATAGCAATTTAAAATATGTGCTTGCATGATCACTAGCAGTCTGGATTGCCATAAAGCAAAAATTTCCAGTATCATTTAGTTTGCACTGTTTATACCGTTTACTCCCTCTTGCTTCTGCTGACATGAATTGGTTTTGTTTCCTTTTCTGCAGAAGTGTTTCACCCCTGGCTGTCACCCACCACAACATCCTGCTGGTGCGCAGGCTGCAGATGGCAGAGGGGAAGGTTTCACTTTTACATCGAAGTGCAAACCCTGCTGTCTTTGGCTGCTTTAAAAATGTAAGGGAAGCACGTTGCATACAGGCCTAAACTTAGTAATGGCAGTGGGACTGCAGTATTGCCATTTTTTAACCCTTCGGTTTCTGGGCCACATATTGTTATACTTCTAAGACAAGATGTGTTCAGTAATGTCAACAAAGCTGTCAAGACCCTTACTAGGGTGCACAACTCTGAATGGGGTCCCAAGCATGATTGGGAGCTATTTTTCTCACTATAAAAGGTGTTTGAGAGGAAACCAAGCTGATGTGTGCTTCAAACTTACGGGTGCCTTCCAACTAGAAATATTCTGTGATTCTATAAACTGCCAAAAGTGTTTATAGAGAAGAGAACAATTCTGAGAAGTCCCATTATGACACTTCCCCACTATCAGGCCAGCTGGCTGGGCTTGCTTAAATGTAACACAATACAAATGTACGCACACAGAGTGGCATTGTATTCCACACCACAAAGACACAGGTTAGGGAATCCCACTCTTGGCTCTGAGCAAACCATTCAGCCTTGATGTTGCTTGACACAAAAGTGCAAACCAGCTTCCCAAGGAGTCTGAGGCACAGTTTTTTATGTAGTGATTTCTCCTCACCTGCTGACATGTTTTTTGGCACACCATGTGCCATGCAGGGGCCTGGCAGCAACCTGCGCCCACCTGCTGCTGATGCTCCCACTCTCTTCAAGCCAGAACCATTCGCCAAGATTATAAAAAGTCTCTTAGTGGATGCTTAAGGAGAAAATCAGACATTTTTGTATAAAGCTGAGGACTACTCAGTGTCCCTGCTTCCCAGCAGAAGATCCTGGTGGACTTAAGACGTGTGTGCTGATCCCCTATGGACATATGTCTGAGACAGGCACTTTGGTGTTCAGCACAGAGAAGGTGGCAGTGCCTCTGGGTGCATGGAGGCTGTGGTGGGGGGAAACAGTTTTCCCCCTGAAGTTATAAAATGGTAAAACCCCAGGGGGTGGTGACCCTTGAGGTTTTACCCAATGTATGGCTAAGCTTCGCGAGCGAAGATTTGGGAAAGGTCTTTTTTTACCCTTCGAGCCTGCGCAATCAATTTTTTGAGACCCAGTGTGCGCTGAACTGAGCCCACCCTTTAATCCTAAGGTTCATCTGCCGGGGCCGAGCAAGCTTGGACAGTGGCAGTGAGGTCCTCAGAACGTAGGTTTGTTTAGAGGGCCGAGCAAGCTTGGACAGTGGCAGTGAGGTCCTCAGAACGTAGGTTTGTTTAGAGTGACCTTCTCTTAGATGGATGGCCTTACGGGGCTGACGAGCTCCATCTGCCCGGGGGCTTCTGCAAAATATAAACATATCACAAGCAGAATGGAAGAGAAGGTAGTTGTAGTTGTTGTTGAAGGAGTAGCCATGTTGTAAGGCCACGAGGAGTGAGGACAGGAGCCCCCTGGGGGGCTCTGGCCCCCCAGCCCCCAGCTGGGGGGTGCTGCAGGGACTTGGAACAGTGTAAGGCTGGGCTAAGTACCTGTAACTGAAAGCTAAAGAAGTTTTCTCCACCGTGAGTGAGCAGAGACAGAGCAGCAGCAGCGTCCAGAGATTGTGGCTAAGAGCCAAGAGATAACTGAAGAAGCAGCAACAAACATGCAGCCAAGGAAGACACAGAGCTGTCCGAGAGAAAGAGAGCTAGCAGCAGAGAGAGCAGACCTAAGCTCTACAGACAGAGTTTTTGGGGTAAGAACTGAACCAAAGGACCCCAAACTCCTTGGAGACCTCTCACTTCCTAGAAGGGAGGGGTGAAGTGCAACATGCACTGTAAGAAGGAGCTGAAAAGCTCAGAGAAGGAATGTGGAGAGGGTGACCTTGTCGTCCCCCCCCACCCCGCTGCTTGAGACAGAGCACAGAGCTCTGCAAAGGGGACATGAATCCCCTGAAGATACAGACCGTCACGAAGACCCCGTGCTTTGTGGTACGACGTGGTGACGCGACCGTTGTCTGGGTGAACGCAGCCCATGGAAGATAAGACCCTCGCTTGAAGACGAGTGGCCGAGGGGCTTCGATACCCCCCTTGTGTGTACTGGCAGAGATCCAGCTACAGCTGCTGCATAGAAGAAGAGAACCTTCTGCCTATGAGACATTGCTGCTCTGAGAGTGGAAAAAGATCTTTTCCTACTTCCCTCCTGGACCTTTATTTGGAGGGGAGAAGAGATTTGATCCATTGTAAATACTTTTATGTCGTGGTAGAGATAGCTAAGATTGTATATAATGTATTGTAGTATTTATTTTGTACAGTCATTGTAATATATATTCCCTTTCCCCCATTTTGAGTCTTGTGTGGTGTCTGGAAAACCATCTCACACTGGGTTGAGATGTGGTAGGGGGCTTGGACTAGGGAATTAGATTTTGGGGTTCTCAAACCATGACAGAGGCTCGCCTAATTTTAGGTTTCCAGTAAATTTTTCAAGTCAAACCTTAGGTTTGACTTAGGTGGACTTGGATCTACCAGAGTACCTTGCAAACATCACATACTTGAATTTAAGTATTCCAACGCCACGGAAGGTACCTGCAATGCAATTATTTCCATGGTTGTATCTTGACTTCTGTGTGAACTGCTACCTAGTGCTGAAGTCCTGATGAATGGTGGTGTCTTCAACTGCTGTTGACTATCTTTTTTTTTCTCTAAGAAAACTGAAAACAGATATCCAAGAAAATCATACTGTGCTCCAAAATACAAGTTAATAAAGGAAGCTTTTTAGAACATTAGCTGCAGACAGAGCAAGGCCTCTTCACTCATAAAGACCTGGCAGTAATACATCTTCTATTACCAAAGCTTCACAAAAGACCTAATTCTGCAAGATACAGATATTAATTATTCTAACATGATATTCTGTGGCACTTAGCAGACTTAGCAAAGACCAGAAAATGCACATCACTATATTCCCATGCAAACATAATTGTCATTTTACTGAGTGTTTCCCCACTCAGAAAAAAATAGGTTTTACGTACCTGTTATACCAATACATACACATATTATGCATATACAATTACATAGTACATACAATTCTTCTCTCTGGAGAACAGCTTTAAGCATGGCAAGGTGGCAGCAAAACTCTTACTGTCACTCAGCTTACGGTGGTTGTGCAGGAATAAGCTCCAAAAAGGAGCAAGATGATGGACATAATGCTGCTGTATTTGTGAAAATGCTCAGGTATAACTCTAAGCATTCTCTGAAAGGACATTTCATCTGGATTTGATTTGACAAGACTTCGGAGAGTGTTTGTAGGTCGCGCTACTCCCTCTCTAGGTTACCAGACTGCTATTTAACCTCACCGAGTCGCCCAGGTGGTCTGGCAGAGATAAGCATAATCTGCAATGACATCTAGGCTACACCACAAAATAATGCTGCTTCTGGTGCATTATTCAAAATACCTGCCAGCAGACTAGCTTCAGCTGCTTAAATGTGCTTCTACAGTGCATTTCTGGCTAAAGCTGTACACAGA